TTTGAGGGGTGAAACGAGAAATGAATTTGGGCACTTTGAGGCTGGATGGCAGCCCTCCCTGGCTGTTTCCGGGCTTGCTATCTGCCTTTTTCTCTGGAAAGGAACTCTGGTCTGCGGTTATGTTTCTACTTCCTTCTCCATGTCTGTAATCGTAGTTAATTCAGTTGACAGTTTTTCTTGCTTATTGGTCCTTATAAAGTTTAAATTTATGTTGTTCTGAAACGCAGGAGGCGTACTGTTGCTCTGACCTAACCTATGCGTTGCTCTTATTTTTCTGCAAAGGGGTCGGTCTCTGGGAAGCTGTTTGTTTAAAAAGAAAATCGGGAAAGAATCCTGGAGGAAGCAGACTTTCAAAACGTTTTAACGTCTACCCATTGTCGGGCCCAAAGCATCAGGATCGGGCATGAAGTTCCAGTTCAGAAGATTTTACACTTTAATTAGCTGATTAGCAAAAAGCTCCTCTATTTCCTCTGCTCGGTTGGGTGTCCTGTAGTCTCCGCCTACAGCAATGTCGTTCTTTTCCCTCCTTTTATATTAAGCCAAATGCATAAAAGGAGGCTTTGGTCCTTGTTTTGATGCATTTCTGTAGATAACATCGTGGTCTCTTACAAAGAAAGCAATTCTGCCTCCTCTCGTTAGGGTTTTTTTTTTCTCTTTTGAACAAAGTATATCTTTCTATCAGTACACTGCAATCATGGCTTTCATCCCACATAATAACAATATCACACCTGTCCTCTTGTACTAGGACTTTTAAGTTCACCCTGTTTGTTCCTCCTACTTTGAGCATTAGGTGTTTATCTGAGACCTTTATGCCAGTCCCCGCATTTATATAGATAGAGCTGGAAGGGACCTTGGAGGTCTTCTAGTCCAGCCCCCTGCTCAAGCAGGAGAACCTATACCAGGGGTAGGCAACCTCGGCTCTTTTATGACTCATGGACTTCAACTCCCAGAATTCCTGAGTCAGCTCAGGAATTCTGGGAGTTGAAGTCCATGAGTCATAAAAGAGCCGAGGTTGCCTACCCCTGACCTATACCATCTCAGACAAGTGACTGTCCAGTCTCTTCTTAAAAACTTCCAGTGTTGGAGCATTCACCGCTTCTGGAGGCAGGCTGTTCCACTGGTTAATTGTCCTCACTGTCGGGAAGTTTCTCCTTAATTCTAGGTTGCTTCTATAATAACAATAAAGTTGGAAGGACCTTGGAGGTCATCTAGTCCAACCCCCTGCTCAGGCAGGAAACCCTATACCATTTCGGAAAAATGGCTGTCCAATCTCTTCTTAAAAACTTCCAGTGTTGGAGCATTCACCGCTTCTGGAGGCAGGCTGTTCCACTGGTTAATTGTTCTCACGGTCAGGAAGTTTCTCCTTAGTTCTAGGCTGCTTCTCTCCTTGATTAGTTTCCACCCGTTGCTTCTCGTCCTGCGTTCACATACTTTGGAGAATAGCTTGACTCCCTCTTCTTTGGGGCAACCCCTGAGATACTGGAAAGCTGCCATCATGTCTCCCCTATTTCTTCTCTTCTTTAGACTAGCCAAACCCAAGTCCCACAGCCGTTTTTCACATTTGCTTCCCACATCTCCCGTTTTCTATCTGAGGTAAAACCAAATTAATTTAGCTTTCTACCCCTGGGAGAGGCAGACAGGTGGTCCTCGGCATACGACCACAACGGAGCCCCAAATTTCTGTTGCTAAGCGAGACAGTTGTTAAGTGAGCTTTGCCTCATTTTGCGACCGTCCTGGCCACGGTTGTTAAGTCAGTCGCTTCAGTTGTTCAGTTCTTAAATGATTCTGGTTTCCCCCATTGACTTTGCTTGTCCAAAGGCTGCAAAAGGGGATCACGTGACCCCGGGCTCTTCAACCGTCATAAGTCCATGCCAGTTGCCAAGCCTCTGAATTTTGATCACGTGACCACGGGGATGCTGCAACAGTCGTAAGTGTGAAAAATGGTCCTAAGTCACTTTTTTCAGTGCTGTTGTAAACTCAGTCACTTGCCAGTTCTATAAGAACATTCCCCACCAGTTTAATCATCTCTCTTTTATTTAAACTTCCAGGTCATTCTTTCTTCGCACTTTCAGTTAAATAATCAAGATGAATTTATTTCTCTAGAAGCAACCAAATGTTGCTAACTTGTACGTAAACTTCGCCCACAAATGCTTATTAATAGTTGTTGTTAGGGCACAGTTTTGTGTTGTTCCTTTTTTTTGGGGGGGGAGGCACAGTTTACAAAGGCTAAAGATGATGCCCTGAGATCAACTTGGATTGAGGCTCCGAAGGTGCCTTTTCCAAGAGGCCACTGGACTTCGTTTTTCCTTGAGGGCGTTTCCCTTCTCATCCAAGAAGCTTTGTCGGTTCCGACAGAACTAAAGAAGCTTCTTGGATAGGAAGCGAAACGTCTTCAAGGAAAAAGAATGGAAGTCCAGTGGCCTCTTGAAAGAAACAGCTTTGGGACAACTGCGATCTGGGTGACTGAGAATCTCCATAGACATTTCTTCTTCTTGTGCCATATCCGTTATCGGACGTTGGCGATTATGTTGGCGATCCTGTTTTTATCAGCAGCCGCACAAAAAAGTGCTGCTGAGTTTTGTCCAAACCGGTCCCTTAGATTTGGAAGCCACGATGTTCTTCTTCTGCCTGGACCTCGTTTGCCTTCCATCTTTCCCTGGAGGATTAAATGGAGTATGCTGTGTTTTTTCTGGGTGTCGCATCACATGTCCGAAATATTCTAATTTTCGTTTTTTAATTGTGTTGATGATTTCCCTTGGCTTTCCCAGGCGGTGTATCACCTCCTCATTTCTGATCTTGTCAACCCAGCTTCTATGTAACAGCCGCCTGTCAATCCCCATTTCAAATGCTTCTAGTCTCTTCAGGTGGCCTTCTGTCAGAGGCCAACTCTCTACTCCATGGAGCAGGGTAGAAAAAATATAACATCTGAAGAGCCTGATTTTCACTCTTAGGCTTCTGTCGTGACTGCAGCAGACCTTTTTCATTTTGAAGAATGCTGTTCGAGCTTTCTCTATCCTTGTCTTCACTTCAGTGGTCACGTCCCAGCTTTCATGTAAATTAGAAACTAGGTGCGTGATCCTTTCAACTTTTTCTCATGGTATTCCTTCCGAATGTATTGGTGGTAAATTAACAGGTTGTTTGCTGACGACCATGATCTTGGTTTTTGAGGTGTTAAGCTTCAAGCCGTATTTTTCAGATATTTCTGTGACTCTGTTGATGAGGAACTGAAGGTCTTCATGCTCACGTGCAAGCAGAACTGTATCGTCAGCATATCTTAAAATGGTTGATCCAAACACCGTTTACTTTGATGCCAGCATCGATGTTCTCCAGTGCCTCATTAAAGATTGATGCGGAGTAGATATTGAACAAAAGTGGAGACAGAATACATCCCTGTCTGACCCTTTTTCGTATTTCTGCATCAACTGAGTATTTAGACTCATACATTAGCTAGAAAACTTCCTGGACAGAGAACAGGTGGATATCAGTTATACACACAGAGGTAAAATTTGGTTTAAATTACTGGAATGTCATTCTATCTCTGATCAAGACTGGAAACTTCTGTTAGTCCAAAGTAGGTTACAAATGGAGGTAACACAAGACAATCCGTTTGTCTGAGAGATACAGTTTATTTTTTTCGGACCCGATTCATCCTTAGCAAAGCATCTTCAATCTGTCCATGGAGGTTCTCCATCATTCAGGTCACCATTATCCCAAAGATGCTTTTTTCACGAAGCAACGGGACTTTCTTGTTTTTCTTTGAAGACGTTTCCCTTCTCATCCACAAAGCTTCTTCCGCTCTGACTGGATGGTGGGAGAATGGAAGGATTTATAATCCTTGCAGACAGCAGGTCATTTGCCTTCCTTTTAGAGAGCTGTTGACATCATCTATCTCCAGTCTACAACACAGTCCTTTTGGCAGTTCCAAGAAGGCTCCAAGCCCATTTGCATCCCTCAGGTGACCCTGAGGACACAGATAAACCTCCAAGAGGCCTCAACGACTCTCTAAAAGAAGGCAAAGGACCGGCAGTCTGCAAGAAGTATAAATCCTTCCCCACCAACTAGTCAGAGCTGAAGAAGCTTCTTGGATGAGAAGCGAAACGTCTTCAAAGGAAAAACAAGAAAGCCCAGTTGCCTCTTTTAAAAAAAAGCACCTTTGGGACAATCAGGACTTTGGATGATGGAGAACCTCTGGTTCTCCATTTTGCTTAGTTCTCAAGAGACGAGCACGCTGCGTGGAGCTGGTTAGCACCACAAAGACCCCCCCCCCACCTTTTCATTAACTTTTAATGAATGTTAACCTTCCTTTGCCTCTTACCTAAACTGTTTATATATTGTTTACGTTTTGATGTTTTACTTCTGCACCACCCAGCGTCCCTCTGGGAAGGAGACAGGCAGCTTCCAAATTTGGTAAACAAGTAAAAATTTGAAAACTTCCCAGCCGGTTTCTGACGAGCAAAATCAACGGAGGGAAGCTGGGTTCGCTTAAAAATGGCACAGGTTCGCTTAACATCGAAAGAAAGAAAGAAAGAAAGAAAGAAAGAAAGAAAGAAAGAAAGAAAGAAAGAAAGAAAGAAAGAAAGAAAGAAAGAAAGAAAGAAAGAAAGAAAGAAAGAAAGAAATAGAAAGAAAGAAAGAAATAGAAAGAAAGAATAGAAAGAATAGAAAGAAGAAATAGAAAGAAAGAAAGAAAGAAAGAAAGAAAGAAAGAAAGAAAGAAAAAGAAAGAAAGAAATAGAAAGAAAGAAAGAAGGAAGGAAGGAAGGAAGGAAGGAAGGAAGGAAGGAAGGAAGGAAGGAAGGAAGGAAGGAAGGAAGGAAGGAAGAGCTCATAAAATCAGGCGCAAGGGACTTAACAAGGCGCCCTGCTTAGTAGTGGAAGTTCTTGCCCTAATTGTGCTCATAAGTCAAGGACTACCGTAAGGAGTACGTGTCAAGATAAACCTGGGTTGTTTTTTGAGCACACTGACCCACATTTAAAAAAAGACACTCTGTTGCCCGCTCTCAAGAAAGCATATATATTACCCAAAACAAAAACATCCAAAAATGCTGTGCGTTAACAATGACCTATACAACTCCGGTTGAAGCACAGTTCAAAGAGCAATGACCCATCTTTGCCAAATGTCTGCCAAATATTACATAAACAGTAAACTCCAAAAAGCAATTGTCCTCTTCACGCAGCAGCTGCCTTGGTTGGTCTGCCCGGAACGTGGACGCGGCTTTTTGTCAACCGAGGGAAGCTGGCAGGAATGTGCAAGCGTCCCATCTCTGCTTCCGCCCCTTAGCCCGCTTTCTCGCAGAACTGGCAGTAGATCCCTCCGCTGAGGTCACTGACAGCTCCTTCTCTGACCAGCTTTTGCAGAAATTGCCTCTCGTGGGTCACGTTGTGCATGGTCTGCCTGTTCATGTCCAGCATGCAAATGCTGTCATAATAATGCACAGGCGCCTCGGGTTGACTCAAGTCATATCCAAACCCAGCTAAGCTGACTTGGTCACACAAGTGCGTAGCTAGAAGCACCGCAACTACTCCAATTGTAGGTACGTTCTACAGGGGAGCAAAGAAAGATATTTATTGCTTTTGCAAGAACGCGGTGTTCTTGCGATACATTTGTTAAACCAGATGAATTAAGTGTGGGTGGAGATTCTCCGTCATCTGGGTGGTGGCTGTCCCAAAGGCAGTTTTCCGAAAGGCCACTGGAATTTCTTGGTTTTTTTTTTTCCTTGAAGACGTTTCGCTTCTCGTCCAAGACGCTTCTTCAGTTCTGACTGAACGGTGGAGAACGGAAGGATTTATGTTCCTAAACAGTCATCGGATCGTTGGCGCTCCCTCTGGGAGTTGTGGATTCCATTCTCCACCATTCAGTCAGAACTGAAGTAGCTTCTTGGATGAGAAGTGAGACCTCTTCAAGGAAAAAAACAGGCCTTTGGAAAAAGCGCCTTTGGGATAAATTAATTAAGATATAATTCATTGTAAGCAGTTTCTTAAAAAAAAAAAAGGCTGGAATTTTTGTTTAAAAGTAAAACGGAAGTGAGGATTCAGGCTGGACCTCTATGGAAAAGCTTTCCCATGCACACAGTTAATGCTATTTCTCCTGAAATTTGGGCTGGACTAGAAGACCTCCATGGTCCCTTCCTACCCTATTATTCCATGTTCTATGAAAAGAGTATTCTACCATTAAATGGCAAAAAAGGAGGCAAAGAGAGATTTGTGGGGAGGAACTAGCAAAAGTTGGAAATGCAATCTGAATGGGATACCCATCCGAGTGCATTTTTCCCCAAAATAACAATACTCAGCATATAAGAGCCGAGGTGGCGCAGCAGTTAGGGTGCAGTACTGCAGGCCACTTTAGCTGACTGTGTTCAGCAGGTCAGCGGTTCAAATCTCACCGGGTCAAGGTTGACTCAGCCTTCCATCCTTCCGGGGTAGGTGAAATGAGGACCCAGATTGTTGGGGGCAATGTAAATATATATATACATTGCTTACTGGTGTACACCGCTTAGAGAGTGCTTGCACTTAAAGCGGTATATAAGTCTCATAAATAAATAAATAAATATTTTTTAAAATGATAGTAATAGTAGTAAAGTTGGAAGGGACCTTGGAGGTCATCTAGTCCAACCCCCCGCTCAGGCAGGAAACCCTACACCATTTCAGACAAATGGCTGTCCAGTCTCTTCTTAAAAACTTCCAGTGTTGGAGCATTTACTGCTTCTGGAGGCAAGCTGTTCCACTGATTAATTGTTCTCACTGTCAGGAAGTTTCTCCTTAGTTCTAGGTTGCTTATCTCCTTGATGAGTTTCCACCCGTTGCTTCTTGTCCTGCCTTCAGGTGCTTTGGAAAATAGCTTAATTCCCTCTTCTTTATGGCAGCCCCTGAGATATTGGAATACTGCTATCATGTCCCCCCTTGTCCTTCTCTTCGTTAAACTAGACATACCCAATTCTCGCAACCGTTCCTCTAGTCCAACCCCCTGCTCAGGCAGGAAACCCTGCACCATTTCAGACAAATGACTGTCCAGTCTCTTCTTAAAAACTTCCAGTGTTGGAGCATTCACAGCTTCTGGTGGCAGGTGGTTCCACTGGCTAATTGTTCTAACTGTCAGGAAGTTTCTCCTTAGTTCTAAGTTGCTTCTCTCCTTGATTAGTTTCCATCCGTTGCTTCTTGTCCTGCCTTCAGGCGCTTTGGAGACTAGCTTGACTCCCTCTTCTTTGTGGCAATTCCTGAGACATTGGAACACTGCTATCATGTCCCTCCTCATCCTTCTTTTCACTAGACTTGACATACCCAATTCGAGCAACCGTTCCTTCTATGTTTTAGCCTCCAGTCCCCTAATCATCTTTGTTGCTCTTCTCTGCACTCTTTCTAGAGTCTCAGCATCTTTTTTACATCGTGGTGACCAAACCTGGATGCCATATTCCAAGCGTGGCCTTACCAAGGCCTTGTCAAATGGTATTAACACTTCACCTGATCTTGATTCTATCCCTCTGTTAATGCAGCCTAGCACTGTGTTGGCCTTTTTGGCAGCCGCAGCACATGACTGGCTCATATTTAAATGATTGTCCACTAGGACTCTGAGATCCCTCTCACAGTTAGTAGTGTTAAGCAAGGTACCCCCTATACTATACCTGTACATTTGATTTTTCTTGCCTTTTCACCATTGAATTTCATTTTGTCAGATAGTGCTGTTGTGTATGGTTGTAAGTCAAGGACTGCCTATATTTTACACTTAAGTGAATGAATGTCACCAACGAGGGCCAGACAAAAGCAGAGAGAAATATAACACATTTTCTTCTTTCGCAAAGAGTTCGCTACCTGATCCCAATTCCAGAGTCGAGGTTCAGGGTATTGCAGAATATCCAAAGCGATCTCCTTAATGATGGACGGATTCAAAATCCGAAACTTCTTCGGCGCCAAAGGTATTTTTATAGCCACGTTTTTCCAAAAGAAGAGGTGCATCCAGAGGGGCTGAGCAACAACAACAACAGCACCACACAAAAACATACAAATTACAACAAGGTTTCAAAACCGCCCTAATGTGAAGCAATTACTCCAATGAAGTATTTAATTGGGCGGGGGGAATAATAATAGTCTCGCTTAGTGACCACTGCTGGCAGTTAATCACTAAACCAACACAATTGAGAATCAAAAGACCCCAGGACTGTGCTGGAGTTACGCTGGCACTTCCCATTAAGCGAGTCACGCAAGCTGCTAAGCAAGACATCGTGTGGCCACACCTGAGGCAATTTCAGCGCTGCAATTTCAACTCTTGGTTTCTCAGAGTTGGCTGTGAAGTGTGTAACGGCGATCGTGTGACCGTCAGAAGCTGCATCGGTCATAAATGGAGGACTGGTTACTTTTACTGAAAAGTTACTTTTCAGCGCCACCATAATTTGGAATAGTCACTAAGCTGGGGAGTCATTAAGTGAGGTTTACGTGTAATCCCTCCTTTCCCAGGGGTTACTAGGTCTTCCAAAATGTAAGGCCACGGCGAAAATTTCAAAATGGCTGAACTTGGTATCTCCAGCCAGAGATGGGAAGAAAGCCTAACTATCTAACTAATCTAACCTAACAAATGAACTAACCTAACAAACCTAATTAACTAACCTAAATTGACTAACCTAACTAAACTAAACTAACTGAACCAATGAACTAACCTAACTAAGCTAATTAACTATTGAACTAACCTAATTAACTATAACTAATCTAACTAAACCAAGTAATGAACTAACCTAATTAAACTAAACTAACTAAACCAATTAATAAATTAACCTAACTAACTAAACTAATTAACTAATCTAACTAAACTAACCAAACTAATGAATTAACCTAACTAAATTGAACTAAACTAACTGAACCAACTAATTAACTAACCTAAATAACTAACCTAATTAACTAATGAACTAATCTAATTAACTAACCTAACTACACCAATTAATGAACTAACCTAACTAAACTAATGAACTAACCTAACTAACCAAACTAATGAACTAACCTAACTAAATTGACTAACCTAACTGAACTAACCTAACTGAATCAACTAATTAACTCACCTAAATAACTAACCTATTTAACCAATGAACTAACCTAATTAACTAACCTAACTAAACCAATTATTGAGCTAACCTAACTAAAGTAATGAACTAACCTAACTAATGAACTAACCTAACTAAACAAACTAACTAAACTAACTGACCTAACTAACTTAAACTAAACTTACTAACTAACAGGAGCACGCGAGACAAATTAAAATGAGATGCTAGTTTAAGGCATCTTCCCATTTACACCCAATCCATAGAGGAGGCAATGAATTAAGGAACTTGTCGGGCATTTTTAAACAAGAGAAAAAAAAATAATGCAAAAATTGGGATTGTGTGCCTATGGACACATATGTAACCTTAAGGAGAAGTACAAATATTTTTCTAAAACATCTATATTCAATAGGAACTCAATACATCTCCTATGGTTCGATTTTGTTTCGATTGGATTGAGTTTTAGTCTATTTCTAATTTTTCACTGCATACTACTTAAGAGTGGCTTAAAGGGTGCCAATACATTTAATGCTCATAGCAATTTACTTAATTTTCACATCAACAAAACTTACACAGTAATAATACATTAGGCATATTACTTCCACTAAAGCCAAAATCTTTAGGCAATGCTAGCAGTGGGCCAGCTAAAAAAAAAAATAAATTCAAAATGGAAACTGGCTATAGTAAACACACAAACAAGACAATTCTGGTATCTCTTATTACACACAAATGCAATATTTAACATCCTTACTTACTAATGTTTCATTTTTCACCACTGCTTTTATCCATGCAAAATCAACAGTTTTAAATAATACTGCCACAAACAAGCTATTTGGAAAATATTCATCTTGAGATAAAGGGGCTCCTTCGGGATACGTCATTCTTATTGTTGTTTTGTTACCGACATCATTTGTGTACCCCTGAACGGGTGCATCATTTAACCTGCAAAACAAAATGTATCAAGGAACTGAACATACAACTTTAATACATGAATCATACCAAAAAAATGCATGGATAACAGAATAACATAGTTGGAGAGTCCTTGGAGGTCATCTAGTCCAACCCCCTGCTCAGGCAGGAAACCCTACAACATTTCAGACAAATGGCTATCCAGTTTCTCTTTAAAAACCTCCAGTGTTGGAGCACCCACAACTTCTGGTGGCAAGTTAATTGTTCTCCCTGTCAGGAAGTTTCTCCTTAGTTCCAGGTTGCTTCTCTGCTTGATCAGTATGTCAGGAGCTGCCCCAAAGAAGAGGGAGTCAAGCTTTCTCCAAAGCACCTGAAGGCAGGACAAGAAGCAACGGATGGAAACTCATCAGGGAGAGAAGCAACCTAGAACTAAGGAGAAACTTCCTGACAGTAAGAACAATTAACCAGTGGAACAACCTGCCTCCAGAAGCTGTGAATGCGCCAACACTGGAAATTTTTAAGAAGAGACTGGACAGCCATTTGTCCGAAATGGTATAGGGTTTCCTGCCTGAGCGGGGGGTTGGACTAGATGACCTCCAAGGTCCCTTCCAACTTTATTATTATTAGTAGTAGTAGTAGTAGTAGCAGCATTATTATTATTACTACTACTACCTCCAAGGTCCCTTCCAACTTTATTATTATTATTATTATTACTACTACTACTACCACCACCTCCAAGGTCCCTTCCAAGTTTTATTATTATTATTATTATTATTATTATTATTATACTATCTCCAAGGTCCCTTCCAACTTTATTATTATTGTTGTTATTATTATTATTAATTATTACTACTACTACTACTACTACTACTACTACAACTACTACTACTACTACTACTACCTCCAAGGTCCCTTCCAGCTCTCCTCTTCTGTTAATAGACACCCTTTCGACGGAGGCTAATTTGTGACCTTAGACAAAAACACACACACACACACACATCCCAAGCCCTACCTTATCACGACATCAAAGTGGTTCAGGGAGGATCCCAGCTTCAATCCTTGTAGTACGCTGCTGCTCCCCACAACTACACAACGTTTACACCGCTTAGACTGCAGGTCTGCTGGTAAACCGTCTTCGGGTAGAAGCTGGACTAAGTTTCGAAGCTTCTCCCCAAAATTCCGGAACCCAAACGGAGGCGGGTATTTGAAGAGATCGGGTTGATATTCGGTATCTTTCGTTACAAAGGGAAGCAGACCCAAGTTGTAGCGGTCCAGATACAACTGGCTCAACTTGTTCCTTGCGAAAGATGGACGACACTCGGCTTGTGAAATCTCCTCTGCGTATTTTTGAGCTCTCTAGAACAGCAACATGGGCCAACCAGTTAGGAAACGGTCTTTGTGATAAGAATGTGCAGTCAACGCAACCTGGTCATGTGGCATGCAATTTTTTTTTATCTGTTCTGCTCTGATGTCCAATCTTTAACGCAATTAACGTTGTCTTCTCCACCACCCCCAGCTCCCCCCCCCCCAAAAAAAACCATCCGTAAAAATAAAATAAAAAATGGTATTCTCCAGAATTACTTGAATGGTCCATGACCTCAAGAATTGTCCCTTGATTGCCAACACTTTTCTTTAAAAAAAAAAAAAAAAGGCAACATTTGATAAAGCAGTTCCGCTCATTGCAATCTGGCGAGGGCAGATGATGAAATTTGAGGATATTTCAAAAGACACTGAATAAGAGTTATTTATCAGAAATTAGTTAAACAAGAATAACAGAAAAATAATGTGAAATTCTATTTCTTTTTGCCTGGCTTTTTATGCAACAAGAATCCCTGTTGTTCTGCAGCAAAAGGGACCGAAAAGAAGAAAGGGAGGAGGAGGAGAGGAGGGGGGAGGAGGAAGAAGAGGAGGAGGAAAAGGAGATAAGAAGAGGAGGAAGAGGAAGAGGAGGAGGAGGGGAGGAGGAGGAGGTGAAGAAGGAGAAGAGAGAGAGGAGGGGGACGAGGAAGAGGAGGAGGAGAAGAGGAAGAGGAGGAGGAGGAGAAGGAGGAAGAGAAGGAGGAGGAGGGGGAGGAGGAAGAGGAGGAAGGAGGAGGACAACTGTGGGGTCCCTGGTGCTCTCTGAACTTGTTTTTTTCCTTGCAGATGTCTCATGACCCAACTAGGTAACATCATCAGGAGTAGAAGGGAATGGGAATTGCAGGGAAGAGGAGGAGGTGGAGAAGAAGAAGGGGAAGGAGAAGAGGGGGAGGAGGGGGAAGGAGGAGGAGAGAAGAAGGAGGAGAAGAGGGGAGGAGGAAGAGGAGGTGGAGGCAAGAAGAGGAGGAGGAGAAGAAGAAAAGAAGGAGGAGAAGGAGGAGGAAGAGGAGAAGAAGAAGAGGAGGAGAAGAAGGAGAAGAAGAAGGAGAAGAAGAAGGAGAAGAAGAAGAAGAAGAAGAAGAAGAAGAAGAAGAAGAAGAAAAAACAGTACTATAACCTCTCCGTGACCCCTTCCTACCGCACCGCTTATTACTGTGGCGCCATTTTCTGCCCGGGACTGACCTTGGCGTGATCAGGGTCGACCTTAGGAGCCCTTCGTGTCTGGCAGGTTTTGGCCTCGTAGTTTGTCTTGATCAGGTAAAGAAAGCAAAGTCCAGTCACAACGATCACGATGCGTCTGAAAAGGGCAGAGAGGACTGATCCCGTTGCTACAATCGAGGTGCCAGAGCACGCAACCCACGCTCCCTACTCAGTCCTCCGCTCAGCCCAGCCCACTCCGTGGGGTGCAGTTAAACCGCGCAGAGGGCACCATCAATGGGGGAGTAAATTGTGAACCCAACTTTTAAAAGGTAAACCAGAACCCGTCGGAGACCGGATGCTCCGGAAGTCCATAAGATCCACTCAAGAGGTGGGTCGTTCCTCCGGAACAGAGTCCCATCCGCGCGGTCTGCCTCTGGACTCCCCCACTTGCCCTCGTATCGCCTAGTGGGCGGAGGCCTTCAGCGTGTCATTTCCCGAATGACCTCGATTAAAACTCATCGGCCATCCAAACGGGACCCCAAATTTTCTGCTGCTAAGCGGGACAGCTGTTAAGCAAGTTTTGCCCCATGTTACGACATTTCTTCCCATCCTTGTTAAGCGGATCACTGCAGCACGGAAATCATAAAAAAAATGAAACGTGGTTGGTGGGCTTTGGTTTCAGAGTACGAGCCCCTAAATGCATGACACACACACACACCCCGGGTTGGTAGAAATTAGCCAGAAGGATAAAGCAAGAAAAATTTGTTGCCCACATTCCTGGCACAGTCTACTCGTGAGTAAGTCAGTATTGCCTGGAAATCTGACATGCTGACTTGATTCCAAGTGAAAGTACCCAGAAACGTAAAGCTAGTGCACCATATGCCTTAAATCTGGAAAATCAATTGCGCAGACTGACTACAAGCAGCGGCATGACAAAGTAGCAACAATGGTGCATTGGAAGATCTGCAAAAAATATCATTTGCCTGTAAGCAAAAACTGGTGGGATCATAAAATAGAGAAAGTCATAGAAAATGATAAAATTAAACTGCTCTGGGACTTCAGAATTCAAACAGACAAGCACCTGCAACATAACACCCCAGACTTAACAATTGTCGATAAGAAAGACAAAAAAGTCTGGATAGTGGACGTGGCAGTGCCTGGAGACAGCAGAATAGATGAGAAAGAACTGGAGAAGATAACAAAATACAAAGACCTACAAATAGAAATAGAAAGACTGTGGCAAAAGCAAGCAAGGGTAGTACCAATAGTAATAGGCTCCTTGGGTGCAATCCCAAAACAACTGGAGCACCACTTGAACACCATTGGCATTGACAAATTCGCTATTAGTCAATTGCAAAAGGCGGCCTTATTAGGAACTGCTTCCATCCTGCGACGATACCTGTAATACCATCAAACATCCACATCTGCCTATCCCAGGTCCTGGGTAAGGACTCGATAGGTAGACAAAATGCCAAATCCAGTCTGAACATCTGGCTGACTGTGCGATGATCCATAATAATAATAATAATAATAATAATAATAATAATAACCCCCAGTGAGGCACTACCTTGACGTGGTTGTGGGGCTTGTGTACTCTGAGGAAGATGAGAGCTATGCCAGAGGTTCAACCATACTGGACAGGTCTCATCAGAGGAGTCAGACAAAGAGTGTCTCTCCCATAAAAAATATGGTGAGACGTAAATTTCAGAATGCCATACCGGCTCGGACGTCGCCCGGGTTAACAAGGTCCGCACTAGATATTGGAGTTCCTGGATATCTGGTGAAAAATGGGTTACAGGACTCAGGACTGTTGGCTGAGCAACCAGGGCCAGCAGCTGCAGAACTACTGGAAGAAAAGGTGTTTACCCGTCGCAGATACACAGTGATGGAAAACAAAGAAATAATGATCTGTTACTACAGATCAAGTCCAACAAGACGAGGATATCTAAAACGAATGCACGAATTCTGGAAAGAACAACATCCAGAATCAGAAATAACAGAACAGAGACTAGCAGATCAACGCCGATTTATAACACGAAATAAAGTATTTACAGAAACAGAATTGGACGAACTGCAAAGGTTTACCCAGGGCAAAGAAATCAAAGCCTTACAAGAAGTAATTCAGAATGTAGAGGCAAACCAGGGGGAGTTGGCAGTGAAAGAATCCAGTAGAGATATACAACTGTTCTCATTTGGAAACCAGGCACCTCTTCCTCAGGAAGAACAAAACCCTCTAACTAAAGAAATAAAAGAATTGAAACAAAGAATAATTGAGCATCTAGAACAGCACAAAAACAACAGAATAAGGCTGCCTGCATTGAAGCTTGTTCCAAAGAAACAGCTAGCACAAGCATTAAAAGATGCAAATACTGCAATAGCAAGTATAAGCACCAATTCACTGCAAGAAACAAACCAACTAATGTACAGCACAGCTGCAGTTATAACAGAATACCTGGGATGTAAAATCAACAAAAAAGAAAAACAAACAAACAGTGCACCACAAAAATGGAAGGTTAGACTAGAAAATAAGATCAGCAAGTTAAGATCACATGCAAGCAAGCTAGAACAGATGAAAGAAAAGAAGCTGAAGAACAAGAAGACCAAAGAATACCTAATCAAGAAATACCACTTAGAAACAAGGAAGATCAAGGAAGCACTGGAAATAATAAAGCAACAAATAACAGCTATAGCCAGGAAAATCAGTAGATATGAAGCTCGAATTGCAAACTATAGGCAGAACCTCCAATTTCAATCCAATCAGAAACGTTTCTACCAATCCATCAATGGAGAAACTGCAAGGAATCAGTCAGTACCTGACAAGGAAGAAACAGTGCAGTTCTGGAAGCAGATATGGGATAACCCAAAGAAATACAACAAGGATGCGGCTTGGTTAAAAGAGGTGGATGCAAATAAAACAGAAGTTGAAATGAAAGAACTAGTAATAACAACAAAAATGGTAGAAAAAAGAGCAAAGAAAATCAAAAATTGGTCAGCACCAGGTGAAGATGAACTGCATGGGTTTTGGTTGAAACATCTAACTGTTATACACCCACTCATTGCCAAGCAATTCAACAATATACTACAAGGAGGAGAAATTGAAAAGTGGCTAACAACTGGGAAAACCTACCTAATAATGAAAAATCCAGCAAAAGGGGCAACACCAGGTAACTACAGGCCAATTACCTGCTTGCCAACAACATTCAAATTATTAACTGGTGTGGTAGCTGATGCAGTACAACAGCATCTAGTTGAAAACAATCTCTTTCCACCTGAGCAGAAAGGAAACCACCCCAATAGCAGAGGAACAAAAGATCAACTCCTAATAGACAAAATGATCTTGGAAAACTGCAAGAGAAGGAAGACCAACCTGAATGTGGCATGGATTGACTACAAAAAGGCATTTGACTCTCTGCCACATGATTGGATAATCAAGTGCCTAGAAATAACAGGAGTAAGTAGAAACATCAGAAAATTTGTGCAAAAATCGATGGCACAATGGAAGACACAGTTGCAGATCAATGGTGAAAAGCTGGGAGAGGTTAATATCAAGAGAGGAATATTTCAAGGAGATTCATTATCACCATTACTATTTGTTATTGCACTGTTTCCTCTGTCAACAATACTGAATAACTCAGGACATGGCTATCAAACATCAAAAACATCTGCCAGACTATCCCACCTCCTTTATATGGATGATCTGAAGCTGTATGGAAAAACATCATCTGAAATAGAATCGCTGCTCAACACTGTCCGTATATATAGCCAAGATATTGTAATGGAGTTTGGCTTGGACAAATGTGCCACACTTACTATCAAACAAGGAAAAATATGAAAACTGAAGGAATCAAGATGCCCCACGAAAATAACATTAAGAGTCTGGATGAGGAAGAGTACTACAAATACTTGGGTATCCTTCAAGCTGACAACATCAAGCACACTGAAGTCAAGAAAAAGATTAGAGGTGAATACATCAAGAGAGTGAAGAAGATCTTAAAATCCAAACTCAATGGAGGAAATACCATAAAGGCAATCAACACCTGGGCAATCCCAGTCATTAGGTACACAGCTGGAATAGTGGACTGGACTCAAGCAGAACTAAAAGCAATGGATAGGCAGACCAGAAAAATAATGACAATGAATCATGCCCTTCATCCACGCAGTGACATTGATAGACTTTATCTACCAAGGCAAATAGGTGGGCGTGGAATGCTACAAGTACATCAGATGGTTGAAGAAGAAAAAATGACTTTGGAAGAATATCTGAAGAACAATGATGAAGATGCACTGAAATTAGTATATCAGGAAGGCTTACTAACTACTGGAGAGACCAAACTGGCCTACAAGAAAGACCAAATGAAGAACAGAATAGAGGCATGGGAAGACAAAGCACTACATGGCCAATACATGAAAAAAATAGCTGGGAAAGCAGATAATAATAAAACCTGGCAATGGCTAAGAGCAGGAAAATTGAAGAAAGAGACCGAGGGACTAATTCTGGCTGCACAAGACCAAGCCTTAAGGACAAATGCATACAAAGTCAAAATTGAGAAGACAGCAACAGACAGTAAGTGCCGCCTATGCAAAGAAGCTGAAGAAACAGTGGACCACTTGGTAAGCTGTTGCAAGAAGATTGCACAGACTGATTACAAGCAGTGGCATGACAAAGTAGCAACAATGGTGCATTGGAAGATCTGCAAAAAATATCATTTGCCTGTAAGCAAAAACTGGTGGGATCATAAAATAGAGAAAGTCATAGAAAATGATAAAATTAAACTGCTCTGGGACTTCAGAATTCAAACAGACAAGCACCTGCAACATAACACCCCAGACTTAACAATTGTCGATAAGAAAGACAAAAAAGTCTGGATAGTGGACGTGGCAGTGCCTGGAGATAGCAGAATAGAAGAGAAAGAACTGGAGAAGATAACAAAATACAAAGACCTACAAATAGAAATAGAAAGACTGTGGCAAAAGCAAGCAAGGGTAGTACCAATAGTCATAGGCTCCTTGGGCGCAATCCCAAAACAACTGGAGCACCACTTGAACACCATTGGCATTGACAAATTTGCTATTAGTCAATTGCAAAAGGCGGCCTTATTAGGAACTGCTTCCATCCTGCGACGATACCTGTAATACCATCAAACATCCACATCTGCCTATCCCAGGTCCTGGGTAAGGACTCGATAGGTAGACAAAATGCCAAATCCAGTCTGAATATCTGGCTGACTGTGCGATGAATGATAATAATAATAATGTTGGAAGCGACTTTGGAGGTCATCTAGTCCAACCCCCTTCTCAGGCAGCATAAGGTACAATTAAGAGAGCCAGTTTGGTCTAGTAGTTAAGGTGCTGGCCTAGGAACAAAGAGGTGGTGAGTTCTAGTCCTGCTCAGGCAGGAAACCCTATACCATTTCGGACAAATGGCTATCCAGTCTCTTCTTAAAAACTTCCAGTGTTGGAGCATTCACCGCTTCTGGAGGCAGGTTGTTCCACTGGTTAATTGTTCTCAATGTCAGGAAGTTTCTCCTTAGTTCTAGGTTGCTTCTCTCCTTGATGAGTTTCCATCCGTTGCTTCTTGCTCTGCCTTCAGGTGCTTTGGAGAAGAGCTTGACTCCCTCTTCTTTGGGGCAGCCCCTGAGATACTGGAAGATTGCTTTCCTGTCCCCCCCCCTCGTCCTTCTCTTCATTAAACTAAACATACCCAGTTCCAGCAGCCTTTCCTTATATGGTTCAGGCCTTTTCAATAGATCAAAGATGGGCTGAATCACCACCGTTCAAAACATCCACCACCTTTACTTCATCAAAGATCTTTTCTAAGACTATCCTCATTGCATCAGATACATGGGGAGTGATCAATACTGTCAACTTCCTTGTCGTTCTGTAATTCCGTAGCGATGATCCAAGAACAAGTGCTCCTTTTACAAAATGGAATCATTTTGTGGCTAGTGTCACAAAAGACTGGTCTGCCATGGTGCCGCTCTCAAGTCTTACAGCCCACTTCACCAACACCCCCTTCCAGATGCTCCTACGACAGATAAAACTACAACAGACTTAAACCACAAGGAGATTAAACATAACTTTGATACTACAAGTGAATATACTTCTAACTTAAATCTACAATCAAAAAACATCCAGAGAATGATGGTAAAGAATGAACAAACAATCCAGACAACAGAATGTGAACTAGAAAAAAAATGATTCAACTGGTGAAGTTACAAATGAAGGGAATTATAACTTAATACAAACAAGAAAATACTTACAAGACGTGGATACAACAATAAATATGGAAAAGATACCTTATGCATTCGAACGTTAAAATAAACCTGAGAAGAAAGAAGACTTTTAACAAAATGGACACTGCTAGGAGAATCACTGTTTGGGAGACAAAAAGCATACATCCTATCTACTATGTATTCTCTACTCCTAACAATAACTACAAAAATACAAGAACTGGACAAGTTGAAAATATTAATTTGGAAAACAATTCGGCAAAGGAAGAAGATTAGAGACGGGCTGAAGAGACTGGATTCGCCCTACCAGATGGAATATTATATGAGTAAACACTTGTTTGAATACAGCTAAATAAACAAATAACTTTGGCCATAAAGGGATTTTAGAATAGGTGGGATAAGAGATATAAGAATATAATATTTTTGGATAAGATACAAAATGTAAAAATATTAGGATGTTGTAAGTGAAGGAAAAGTTTGAATTTTAAAGACAAATTAAGTTTGAAAAGATCTAGGATTAAGGAATGATTGAAATATTGAGGGGAAATTAGGCTGAATAAGAATTCTGAAAAAAAGAATATATAGTGATTTAACTAATTTTTACAAACAGAAGTGAAATATAAATTGACTAGAAAGACGTTATGGATAGATGTTCTGCTAGATAAATAGTATAGTATTTCTATAATATATGAAAGATGGAAATACTGGGATGATATATTTAAATGGAAAATTTGGATATTTAGATGTTAAATACTGGGAAAAATATGATTGGCAAGAATTGTTTGAATATTATGGAGAAATTGAGCTTAAACAAGATTGATGAAAATAAGATACATGGTGAATCAATAAGATGACTCTTACGAAAATAACATAAGCTGATAAGAAAAAAATGCTATACGTGGACGCTACTATTGTTGGTATAATTATAGAAGAAAATGTTTTTATTTAAGCATTTAAATATGGAAAATATCAAATATTAGAAATTATTTTTGTTGAATGTTGTAAAAGGAGAATACTACGGGGTGAAGAGAAGATCAAGGAAATATATTATAAATTGATATATTAATTATGGAAATATAAAAATTAATTATTATTGTTTATTAACTATTACTAATTGTATATTCTTTTCTAAAAAAAATTGTGAACCAAGACAACACGCTGTACGCCAGATACTAAGGCTGTTATTGTAAAAAACCAACAAAGATGATTAGGGGACTGGAGGCTAAAACAAATAAGGAACGGTTGCTGGAATTGGGTATATCTAGTTTAACGAAGAGAAGGACAAGGGGGGACAGGATAGCAGCGTTCCAGTATCTCAGGGGCTGCCCCAAAGAAGAGGGAGTCAAGCTATTCTCCAAGGCACCTGAAGGCAGGACGAGAAGCAATGGATGGAAACTGATCAAGGAGAGAACTAAGGAGAAATTTCCTGACATTGAGAACAATTAACCAATGGAACAAGCTGCCTCCAGAAGCGGTGAATGCACCAACCCTGGAAGTTTTTAAGAAGAGACTGGACAGCCATTTGTCTGAAATGGTGTAGGGTTCCTGCCTGAGCAGGGGGTTGGACTCGATGACCTCCAAGGTCCCTTCCAACTGTATTATTATTATAACTTTTACCAAAAAAAAGAAAGAATTTGATTTTTTTAAGTCACTGTCTGCTACAATTCAACAATGAAGTAAAAGGAGTGATATTCTGCTCCTTTCAATGTTTTGGCTCAGTTTTATAAAGAAATGCTTTTAAAAGCAAATCCTCAAAAGATAAATAGTGATTTTCAACCTCCTGGACAGAGACACTTACTTGAAACCACCTTTTAGATTCCAGGTTGGTCTTTTCATCTTCATGGGTAACAAAGGTAGAACATGGTCCCAAAAACCAGCAGCTCCCTTCTGGGCGAAAGGCCTTTTCATCCCTCAGCGCTGCTTGCAAAGAAAAATAGTTAAAATGATTTATATTTAGCATCTCCAAACGAATCCCAGGGCCAGACAGTAAATAACGATGCAAGACAAAGGCATTATGGTTAGTTCCCAACTTACAACAGTTCATTAATTGCCTGTTCAAAGTTACAATGGCACTGGAAAAAAAAAAGGGACGACTTTTGCAGCCTCTCCACGGTTATGTGATCAAAATTAAGACCGCTTTGCAACTGGCATGTACTTACCCCAGGTCACGTGATCCCCTTTTGCAAACTTCTGACAAGTGAAAGTAATGGGGGAAGACAGGTTTATATCAGCAAAAGCAACAATGTGGGAAAGAACAAAACAGGCACAACGTGGAACAAAAAAAGAAGGAGTTCTAGATTTATATAAATCAGCTTCCTACAGCAGCCAAGAAACTGATTCATCAGGAAACATAAAACAGTTAATTTCCTTTTTCTGACGTCTGCCCCTCTCCTTTAGCACACATAAAACCCAAATTTCCTTCTAGAGCAGATTTAAGAGAAATGAGCAGTTTAAGAGCCAGCACATGCTGTCTTGTGTGACCCCTTACTTTGGCCCTTGAATATGATAAAAGCATTCTGACCAATAATGAAAGACATTTAACAGAGGACAGTTCCGCTTATACAATCATTTTATTCCTCATTTTAAGAGATACAATGTGCAAAGCAAGGGGTTGGACTAGAAGACTTCCAAAGCCCCCTTCAAACTTTGTTATTCAGCTTCCACAGAAAAATAATGTGAAATTCAATTTCTTTTTGCCTGTTGTTCTGCAGCAAAAAAGGAGATTGTGAATGGAAGAAACATATTATTAACTTGCTGAGAAACCGCAAGCAGCCAAAGGCATTTTTGCATTCAGATGCAAATACAGAAGTGCTATTCATGCATTTTTTTTAAATCTGAAAAGCATTATTATGCCGAAATGAGCACCTGTCTGCGTGTTTCAAGTTGTGTCAGCATCTTCAGAACACAGCAGCACAGATGCAATTTGGGTTAAACTCTACCAGACCAGCGATGTTTAAAAATAGCTGGCTAAAATCTTCTCATACACGTTCAAATTCATGCCCGGGATTTAAGCCATTTATTTTTGAACTGGTATATTTTTGTCTATTTTTAATCCCACTGTAAGCCAGCTCAGGGTCGCCTCGAACCGTGAGATGGGCAGCAAATAAATTCAACAACAACAACAATAATGATAATAATAATAATAATAATAATAATAATAATAATAATAATAATAAATAATAATAATAATAATGCTACAAGTACATCAGATGGTTGAAGAAGAAGAAATGGCTTTGGAAGAATATCTGAAGAACAATGATGAAGATGCACTGAAATTAGTATATCAGGAAAGCTTACTAACTACTGGAGAGACCAAACTGGCCTACAAGAAAGACCAAATGAAGAACAGAATAGAGGCATGGGAAGACAAAGCACTACATGGCCAATACATGAAAAAAATAGCTGGAAAAGCAGCTAATAATAAAACCTGGCAATGGCTAAGAGCAGGAAAATTGAAGAAAGAGACCCAGGGACTAATTCTGGCTGCACAAGACCAAGCCTTAAGGACAAATGCATACAAAGTCAAAATTGAGAAGACAGCAACAGACAGTAAGTGCCGCCTATGCAAAGAAGCTGAAGAAACAGTGGACCACTTGGTAAGCTGTTGCAAGAAGATTGCACAGACTGATTACAAGCATCGGCATGACAAAGTAGCAACAATGGTGCATTGGAAGATCTGCAAAAAATATCATTTGCCTGTAAGCAAAAACTGGTGGGATCATAAAATAGAGAAAGTCATAGAAAATGATAAAATTAACTGCTCTGGGACTTCAGAATTCAAACAGACAAGCACCTGCAACATAACACCCCAGACTTAACAATTGTCGATAAGAAAGACAAAAAAGTCTGGATAGTGGACGTGGCAGTGCCTGGAGATAGCAGAATAGAAGAGAAAGAACTGGAGAAGATAACAAAATACAAAGACCTACAAATAGAAATAGAAAGACTGTGGCAAAAGCAAGCAAGGGTAGTACCAATAGTAATAGGCTCCTTTGGTGCAATCCCAAAACAACTGGAGCACCACTTGAACACCATTGGCATTGACAAATTTGCTATTAGTCAATTGCAAAAGGCGGCCTTATTAGGAACGGCTTCCATCCTGCGACGATACCTGTAATACCATCAAACATCTACATCTGCCTATCCCAGGTCCTGGGTAAGGACTCGATAGGTAGACAAAATGCCAAATCCAGTCTGAACATCTGGCTGACTGTGCGATGATCGATAATAATAATAAATGCATAAGAGGAACTGCCAAGAAATATCCTTTGCCTGCAAGCAAGAATCGGTGGGACCGTAAAATAAAGAAAATCATAGAAAATGAGGAAGCGAAATTGCTCTGGGAGTTTAGAATCAAACAGACAAGAACCTGCTACATAACACACCAGACTTAACAAGTGTCAATAAGAAAGACAAAAAAAGTCTGAATAGTGGAGCTGGCAGTACCCAGAGACAGCAGAATAGAACAGGAAAAAAAATCCGGAAAAAGATAACAAAATGCAAAGACCTACAAATAGTTAGTTCTCAACTTACAACAGGTTGCTTAGTTATAACAGCATGAAAAAAATGACCCATTGCCATTTTTCACACTTACGACCGTTGCAGGGTCCCCTGTGATCATAGGATCAAAATTCAGACGCTTGGTAACTGACTCACATTTACGACGGTCGCAGCGTCCTGGTGCGGGGTGTCATGTGATCCCCTTTTGCGACCTTCTGACAAACAAAGTCAGTGGGGGAAGCTGGATTTGCTTAATGACCGTGTTCCTATTTAAAGACTGCAATGATTCGCTCAACCAATGTGGCAAGAAAGTGAAATGGTGCAAAACTCACTTCACCAATGTCTCACTTAGCAGCATAAATGCTCAATCGCGTCGTAAGTTGAGGACTACCTATAGAAATGTGCCCCCCCCCCAAAAAAAACAAGGTAGCATTAATAGTGATAGGAGCCCGAGGTGCAATCCCCAAACATCTGGAGCACCGCTGGAACACCTTCGGCATTGACAAATTCCCCATCCGTCAATTGCAAAAGGCGGCTTTATTCAGAATAACTTACATCCGGCAATAATATTTGTAACACCATCAAACATCTGCCTGTCCCAGGTCCTTGGTAAGGACTCGATAGGTGGACAAAAATGTGAAATCCAGTCTAAACATCTGGCTGTCTGTGGGACGAATCACAATCACACTGCTAACGTGTAACCCATCTGCCTCTTTTAAAGTCCTAGCACTTTTTGTGAGCATCGGAAACCCTTCAACTAAGGACGGATGCTTGACATTTATATATTCCCACTGGTCACCGGTAGTTTTTTTTTTCTGTAAGATTTCATTTTTATTACACTCCGCTCTGATTATGAAGGATAAATCTCCTATTCTCTGAAGGCCTATGGAGATTCTCAAGTCCCCCAGGTCCTGGTTGTCCCAAAGATGCTTTTTCAGGAGGCCACTGGACTTTCTTGTTTTTCTTTGAAGAGGCTAACAAAAGAAGCTTCTTTCAACGTGTAAAAAACAAGCAAAAAGTGAAGGAAATGATTATTCCATTAGTGGGTGGAAGTGGCAAGAAGGTGGCAAGCAACAGGGAGAAAGCAGAACTATTTAACTCGTTTTTTGCATCTGTCTTTACAGAACAGGAAAAAACAGACCAACCTATCAAAAATAGTGCCATAAAAAACAGAATAGAAACACAAGTTAAGATAGGCAAGAAAATGGTAAGTGAGCACCTGTCCAGCCTAGACGAGTTCAAATCGCCAGGACCAGATGGATTACACCCCAAGGTTCTCAAGGAACTGGCAGATGTGATCTCAGAACCATTGAACTATATTTTTCAAAGATCCTGGAGCACAGGGGAACTACCAGAGGACTGGAAAAGAGCTGATGTAATTCCCATCTACAAAAAAGGAAAAAAATGGACCCAGGAAATTACAGACCTATCAGCCTGACCTCAATACCTGGGAAGATTCTGGAAAAGATAATCAAACAATGAATCAGCGAACACCTAGAGGCAAACAAAGTCATTACTAAAAGCCAACATGGGTTTGTCAAAAATAGATCATGCCAGACAAATCTTTTTTAAAAAAATATATTTTATTAGATTTTATATGGGTAGGGAAAAGGTAGGGTCGGGGCTGGTACAGGGAAATCGGGATAAAGGGGACAGGGTGTGGATAGCTACAGTAAATACGTGATTCAGCGAACAAACTGTCGTCCAGGTCTTCATATTGAGTATTATTGTTCATATAATACTAGACATTTATAAGAATGAATCGGTCTAGTTACAACCGAATTTTGGTAAAGCAGTAATATTCCTTTAAATAATTAACATAGTTGATAGCATAGCAACTATTTCCAATCATCAAGCTTAATACTTAATATAATAAAGCTCTAAAATCTCTTCTTATTCTAACATGTTTCAACCCACTGATAAAATTTTCCCCAGGTTTTATAGAAGATCGAATCCTCTTTCTCCTTCATCTCTAACGTTAATCTGTCCATTTCTGCACAATCTAGGATTTTCAAAATTATAATCTGGTCTGATGGTAGGTTTTCATTTTTCCAAAATTGGGAAAATACTATTCTTGCAGCTGTCAATACATGTAATATTAAATAATCATTTTCTTTGCCATAGTTAGGTCTTAATATACCTAACAGGAACAGTTCTGGTTTAAATTCTGTCTGGATTTTCATCATCTTTTTTAACCATCTATGAATCTTAGACCAATATTATTTTGCAATAGAACATGTCCACCAGGCATGATCATAAGTACCCGGTTTTTGCTTACATTTCCAACATGCATCCGATAAATTTTTAAACATTTTCGCTAAGCGAACTGGTGTCATATGCCATCTATAAAACATTTTATATAAGTTTTCTTTGTATGTCTGTCTTCTGGAGTGTTGGCCATTCCTGCCAGCTTGGTGTCATCTGCAAATTTGATGAGTTCCCCATCTATCCCAATGAAATTCAATGGTGAAAAAAGCAAGGTTCTACATTTAGGCAAGAAAAACCAAATGCACAGGTATAGTATAGGGGGTACTTTGCTCAATAGTAGCAACTGTGAGAGGGATCTCGGAGTCCTAGTGGACAATCACCTAAATATAAGCCAGCCATGTGCTGCAGCTGCCAAAAAGGCCAACAGAGTGCTAGGCTGCATTAACAGAGGGATAGAATCAAGATCACGTGAAGCATTAATACCACTTTACAAGGCCTTGGTAAGGCCACGCTTGGAATACGGCATCCAGTTTTGGTCACCACGATGTAAAAAAGATGTTGAAACTCTAGAAAGAGTATAGAGAAGAGCAACAAAGATGATTAGGGGACTGGAAGCTAAAGCATATAAGGAACGGCTGCAGGAATAGGGTATGTCTAGTTTAATGAAGAGAAGGGCAAGGGGGGACATGATAGCAGTGTTCCAGTATCTCAGGGGCTGTCCCAAAGAAGAATTGGGAGTCAAGCTATTCTCCAAAGCCCCTGAAGGCAGGACAAGAAGCAACGGATGGAAACTAACCAAGGAGAGAAGCAACCTAGAACTAAGGAGAAACTTCCTGACAGTGAGAACAATTAACCAGTGGAACAACCTGCCTCCAGAAGCGGTGAAT